ACAGGAATTATTCAATGCCAAATGTTTTCTCTTTTCTCCTTCACCTGAGCTTATAATGTGATGAGCCGGTTACCCAACATCGCCAGTGAACCGCGAGGCTGAAAGCTCTGGCAGGTAATGAATGATTTGGATTGAAAAAAATAGAGTCCTTATTAACCCAATAAAACGATAATTGCTTCAAGCTACTAGCCAGATAGGAAAACAAGATTGTAATGAGGCAAAACTGATTTCTGACAAAAAACGGAACCGGAAACTCACTCCCAGTTAATTTTTCAGAAGATGGCCGAGTGTTGGGATGTAGTGATCGCGACTTGTGATGAGCCAGGATCAGGCACTGATGCATCCGTTTATCTAAAGGTACTGAAAGTTAGAAACTAGCCCTCAGTTATTGAAGTACGTATTATCATTTTGTCACTTTGAAAGACGGTTTTCTGCGCCAAAGCATCAAAATTTGTAATTTGAAAAATACTTTCCAAATTTAAATTTGCTCATAAAATTCAGATATACTACGAGTCAGCTCACGATTACGAAACGTTCAATCTGGACAATCCAGGCAAGTGAGTGATTTCCTTTCAAAAACTGATATCATTATTGATAAGATTACGTCTTTATCACAATTTATTCAGGGATGACTTCGAAAGGGGAGCAAAGGACCACTTCAAGCTGTTCTTCAAGCAAGGAGACATCATAAACATGGGACTGTTCTGGTGGCCAGGATTCACCTTCAGTCAATCGTGGTGTACGAAATGGGTAAGCTTAGAACACTATCGAAATTTGAAAAATAGGAACAATCGACTCGTTTTCAGGTTCTTCTATTAAATTCGGATACGGAAACGTGTTTTGAAGGAATCTTCAACAAGTGGATACTTCATTATAAGTTAGTTGATTTGTATTTCTATAACAGAGGAAGGTTATAGAAATTCGTCTAGTCTCCGTCTAAGGGCACGTGCGAAACGGAGACTAGACTACAACTTTGATTCCCAAACCCCAACCCAAAAACAAAGTAGTTATTAATATAAAATTACTTAATATTGTGCTGTCCCGGAGCCTCATCAGCACCTAAATATTGTATAACACAGAGAGGCACCAAAATTTTATTTCAAAAGAATTCCAAAAGTTCAGAAAGTTCAAAAATTCCAAAAACTCAAAAGTTTCAAAAGAGCAAAAAGCTATTTGAAAAAGAATCCTTTTGAAATCCCT